AGAGTTGTCGTCGAAAACCAACCTGATGGTCGGATATTGTTTTTCTCTTCTCAATAAAACATAGACAGGAGAAAAATTGGCAGTTATGACCCAGCTCATGGGGAGGTTTGAATCGTTCAGTAATAGACTTCGTGATAACCTCAGCAATTTTCATGTTGGAGCCACATATTTATTTCTGATGTTGCATTGATGAATAAACTTTATTTTGGTGGGCTCGGTATGTGGACCAATGTTTAATACTTTTGCCTTTATTATTATCTTTGTAAATGAGTTATATATATATATATATATATAGNATATATATATAATTAGATTTTTGTTATCAATATAATATATGTTCAAGCTTTTTCTATATTTAACCGTTATTTGATAATTAATTATATTTTTAATCTAAGGTCTTGGTTGAGATGAAAAAGCATTTGTCACGTGCGGTATTCGAACATTACGAAATACTTGCTTTTTTATCTACACCAAGACCTTATATAAGATGTATAATTAATAAAAAAATTTCAATTAATTAATATTTATGAAAGGTATTGGTTAAGATAAAAAAGTCAGGGTCACGAACGGGATTCGAACCCACGACCTCCGGCCAACCACCGCTGCTCTACCACTTGAGCTATCGTGACTTCGATCCGCTCGGATACCAACTTCCCAACTCAACCCCACCTCTCGAATTTTCCCTCCTTTTTGCCATTTTTCAAATCTCGTGTAATCTATTTGATTCCCGGCGACAAATGAACCGACACTGACTTTTTTATCTTAACCAATACCTTTCATAAATGTTAATTAATTGGAAAATGTTAATTGGTCAATTGGACCATGAACTGAATGGATTAAGAAAAATAGTAATTAGGTCAATTACAATATGGCTGAATACGTATATGAGTTATTTGATAAGTGAATTTTTAACATCTTAACCGGTCTTATTTTGAACCTTGCATCAGCTTTTTAGCTTAATTGACTAATCAATTCACGATATCGATTATACATTTAAATTAATCGGTTTATAATCGTCGTTTTTTTTACAAAGTGATTTGTTTGCTGTATAGTTGTGAGTTTATCTGTTGATTCCTGGAGGATGTCAATCTTTGCGCTTTCTCGCACGCGGGTGGGCTTAGGTCGTTATTTACGCCAGGGTCTTTTGACAGTTTATTGACTGAATCGTCGAAGATCTCCTCAGGGCAATCGCTTTGTCAACAATGCGCAAACCTGTATAAACGTGTTCATTCAAAATTGGCAATGAAGTGTATATCATAGTTGTCCATTGTTTCTGTAACCCATTAAAAATCTTTTATGCAAAAATGGGCTTTGTCTTACAGGAAAAGGTGGGTCAGTGGTCCAGGTGGATTTGGGTGAGCAGCTACACCTTACGGTCAAATCAATTTTGCACCAGAAAAAATCTCTTTAAACGCAATATGGCTAGTTTAATCAATTCTAGCGTCACGGCCACTTTTAACAGTTATCGCCATAAAAATGCACCTTTTGGAAATATCTTTTTGCGAGAAGACTTATATTTCTAAATAGATTATTCGTAACAATTTTGTAAATGCTAATCTCTTATAGAATGGAGTGATTTTGCATTGACATGAGAGATTAGATATGTTGCTTGATTTATTGATAATTGATACATTTCCGTCTTATAAATTTAATTATCAAAATTATAACATTTAAAAAAAATCCTATTCATGTTTTTCTAACTAACAAGCAGTACTAGAGTTCATTACAGTTCATAATCATCAAAATCGCAGTGAGTGAAAGAATGTCAGAAAGCCATAAAGAATGAAATCGTAAAAAAAATCCCCTCTGTACATCATCTGGGGTCAGGATGTCAAGTTGAAGCCCAGGAAAAAACTGGTACAGTTTTACTTTCATTAAATATATTCCACGATTCGTCAGATCGCGGAGAAATCATTAAATCATTAAACTAACTCCCTGGGAAAGCTGGAGTAGGTCTTCATCACGTACCTCAGTTCTTGTCTGAGACTCCATCACCCGAATGATACCCAAACCCGAAAACCCGACATGTATTCCTACTTCTAATAACTCTTCAAATGTTAATCCTGATCAGTTTGGATTTCTCAGCCGCTATTCCACAACACAGCAGTGACATCGTGTTGTAGACCTCATCTCTTCCTCTCTTGAGTCAGGGCAGTACTTCCTCGATGTGGTCTTTGATCAGATGTGCCATCTCGGGTTGCCTCGCTATTCAAGGGTATCCTCCCATCAATATGTTAATTAATACTACGTAAGCTATCTCGATGACCGGTATTTTCGTGTTTGCTCTGTCCTCTTAACATAAAAGTCCCTCGAATGCGTGAGTAGTGGCGGATGGGAACCGGTTGCTCCTACTCGAATATGCTATGCACGTAGGTGTAGGCTGAGCTCGATTGGAGGCTTTTACCATTGGCGGTCTCCTCTAGGGGGTGGTTAGCAATTCCACTTTAAACAAAACCGCGGTCGGAGCGGATCCGGTACTTTCTACGCTTGGGAAGCCCCAATACTCTGGGAGATAGAGTGGCCTTCTCTATCTAGGGAGCGCGCGGGAGACCAGGCTGATGTATTTCGGCTTAGGTAGCCCTTTGCGCACGGCATACGGTTCGATGCTTAATGCGGCCTTTTGCGTGATTTTACTCCTTTTTATGGTCTTTCACGTGTATTTTTCAACCTGAATTCGTTTAAGCGTCACGAACTGTTTCTGACTCTCTGTTTTTACATGAAATCTAAATCGATATCGTAAAATGCTAGCCTCTCGTTTGTAGCTCAGGCTGTCAAATCCAAAATACCCACCAAGGGAGTTGTGGCCCACTCAATGTGGAACTACGGCGACGATGGGTGGTATAGTGCGGTTGAGGCTAGAGACCCCGAAACGGACCACCTCGTGCCCTCATCCACGTCCCTTTCTCAATCCATGTTCCTTCATTCTATCCTGTGACCCATTCCCAACCTTTGGTTACAAGGGGGGCTTGGCAACCTATCTAAAGCACAAGCTGTACTCGTGTCGGCCCTCGGGTCGGCATGGGGCGGCGGGTGCTTTATCAGAGGCAAACGAGGGTTACGGTACCTGATCCTATCTGCATAGATGGGGGAGGGTGCATTACCATCTGTACTACGGAATAACAGAAATGTTCCAAGATTCAGCCTCCGTTACACTGGGAATGGATACGTAGTAGTACGTGGTGACGCCCCTGGCGGAAACTCAGAGAAGAGGCTGTCTTCGACCTGTGACCTCCGCACGAAACTTGCGTATGACCATATACCGCATCGTTATTCACCCGGCCTCACGAGTACGGCGGATCGGACGGCAGCGTATAAGCGTTGAGGACGCTATGATTATGGTGGAAAGTCCCTTGAATGCGTAAGTAGTGACGGATGGGAACGGGTAGTGAATCGGTTACTCCTACTCGAGTATGCTTTGCACGTAGGTGTAGGCTGAGCTCGATTGGAGGCTTTTACCTTACTCCACTTTAAACAAAACGGCGGCCGGAGCGGATCCGGTAGTTTCTACGCTGGGGAAGCTCCAATACTCTGGGAGATAGAGTGGCCTCTTCTATCCAGGGATTGCGCGGGAGACAGGCTGATGTATTTCGGCTTAGGTAGCGCTTTGCGCGCGGCATACGGTTCGATGCGGAATGCGTACCCTACTACTCGGAATAAGCAAGCGGGGAGCGAGGGTGTCTTGGCCCCTCGGGGCTGAGCTGCCTCTACACCAACGCTGCGGCAATAACACACTTCAGTCGTATGCGAAGGTGCGTCAGCTCTCATCTTGAGAATCAAAACGTCCGATAAGGCCGAATAGGCTAGGTGCCTTTTTTTAGGACGACCGAGTACACGGGAAGCAATGTCCTCTTAACATCCCATCGAAGCTGGTGATAACCCCTGTCCTTTATTATATACAGCTCCTTATGCACCCCGATACTTCCATCCCATGCTGATGGCACAGCCATTCTCTCCTCTCACACCGATTATTTTTATTTCCGTTAAATGCATCTTGAAACAGCATCTGCATTTAATAGTATAATGGTGCTGAGATAAAGAAATTGAACTAAACATTAAAAAATCAATAAACATGACTTTCACCATCTGTCGACGAACCTTCCCCCTTACTCCAATAAAGTCTTCCTACTACTATGTGCGATACCTACCTCGTTGGCTCCGTATAGCGAGCTTGTAGGAATACCCGATATGATTGATGGAAGCGAGATCCTTAAACAAATGATCTTTACCCTTTAATGATTTTTCGGCGGCAAAAATTTCAAAAGTCATTGAGATTTTGTAACTTATATTAAAATATAATGAAAATAAAAATAAGCAAGTTTCCAAATTAATTAATAAACGTCCACCTTTTCTTGAATGCAAGCCTGACATCGTTTCCTGTCAGATTTTACTGTTATCAAGAATTCATCCTGCTTCTCTTCTATCATGCAGTACCCTGAAGTTTTAACGTCTGTGCTCGCAACACCCTGTATACTTAGGTTCACTAGATTATTTCACGAATGGGTCATAAAATTAATGATGTAGTCAGTTGATCTAACTTTTGGTTCAAATATTTCATTCAAACAAATTATGCTTGTATTGTCAAATATATCCAGGATAAGATTTTTTTCAAGAAATTGCAATATTAGGGTTATTGGATTTAGAAATATGTAGAGGTGTTGGCGATCAAAATGTGATCGTAATCTGTAGGATTACGGATTGATTATTAATGATCATTCATTATTAAAACCAAAACTCTCCCATTTACCTCGAGATGTTATGGACGTTTGTACGTCGGAGGTTCAAAATTTACACATTTCCGACGTTAACAACTCGAACGTTTCTCTCTTTGTACTCTTTGAATAGATGCAATTTGTCCGATTCAGCATGGATTCGAGCCCCTTGGGGGTTGAAGAAGAGCAAAACCCGCTTCGCGATAGTGGGAGCCGCGGCCCCCACCAGCGCGAAACCCTGCGGACTCCTGAGCCTGGAGGGAATCTGCACAGTTCTCCTCTGGTTTCACGATGGGCAACATCTACAAGTGAGTACCTTATCCTACTCGTAAGGATCAATTTTCAAAGCTCAAGTGATGACAAGTGAAGTGACTTAAGACCTCAGGCGACAGACGGCAGCTCTGCAACCCCGCCGATCGGATTAGGGAAAAAGCGAAGGGGGTGAAATGTGACAATTTTATTAATTTTACAATTTTGTCAGAACAAAACTGTGCTATTCCTTGGCGATATTAACCACCTGATTTTAGGCATTTTTTTAATCTCAATTAAACAAATCAAAAACCAAATAATGTATTAATTGTTAAACATATGCGAATTTTGTACAAAGCATTTTGCCAAACTGCTCTAATACATTTTTTTAAATATTAATTTAATGAAAAACTAGATTTAATTCGCAACTATAATTAAAATTTTAATTTTAATTTTTCATGCAATAAAGAATAAATTATAAATTCTCAACTTTTCAAAATTAAGCCATTCTGAGTTGCATAAAAAGCCAGAAAATGGTACTTGCTTCAGCTTTTAATAAAAAAAGAAAAATAGAACAAAATTTTATCTGTTCAGTGTTTCCAAAATAAAACATAATTTCTTTATACTTTAAAGACATTGACAATGGAATTTCAAAATTTATATTTTTTTGAGAAATTTTTCGTTTTTCTTTGCCAATTGATTCATGGTCTCTCTCTCTCTCTCTCTCTCTCTCTCTCTCTCTCTCTCTCTCTCTCTCTCTCTCTCTTCCCTAACAAAACTTTTGTAAGAGATGAATTTTTAAGGTTTTAAATTATTACTTTTAAAGAAGTTAAGCTTTAAGCTTAAATAGCAACGAAGCGATAAAATATTCACAAATTTTTCCTTGACTTCACATTGGCAATATTATTACACTGGAAGATTTTCTATATTACTTTAAAAAAATATGATAATTAAAATTCAATTTTATTATTATAGTATAAATAATTTATTATGTTGGTCGTTTGACGTATCTTGTCCAAACTAGTCTCGCTGAGTCGGACACCCCTTCTAATTCAGGGGTGGCGACATTGAACACACAAACCCGTCCTCTACAGAATAGGAAACCCCAAAAAGCGAACGACAGATCAAAACAGCGAGACTAGGAGGACCGGGATGATCGGAAACGACCTACAAGTTCATCAACCCTGCGACCGCAACAAGACGTATCGTAAGGAATCCGTAAACATTTTTTTCTATAGAAAAATAGAAAATTAAATTCTTTTTTTTTGCTATTACGGTTATGTATCAATATAGCACACAGGCTGAAACGTAAGAAATCGGTCATTATTTTCAATTCAATTCATTGAAATTTATATTTTGCGACGAACATTTTGTGAACGAAGAGGACCGGAGGTAAACGGCCGAAGATGCCAGCTAGGCTTTAATGAACAGGCGATGACGGGCGTAAATCGTACGCAAAAACTTTCACCGGTCCAGGTGAACTGATCGAGAAAATTCCGCACCCCGGGATGCAAAATAACGTTTTACTTTTTTCGTCAAATGCCTGACTGGAACTGTTTAACTGTCAGACATGGTCCGCAAAATTTACTCCTATTGCCGAGAGTAAGGCACTCCTTTAATACTGAAAAACCAACAGTTAATCAAATCCTATTTGGAATTTTTATTTATAATTATTAAGAAATCGTGAGATGCGGTCTGGTGTGATGTACGTTTCAGAAAAACATTTTCTTTGTCGTGCCAACGTTTCGACCTTTATTGAGATCATCTTCAGGGCCTGGGATTTACAAACATTGTTTATATTTAACATTTAACATTTCTGAAACATACATCACACCAGACCGCATCTCACGATTTCTGGATAATTATCGATTAACGGTCACTAATCACCACACATTTTTATTTATGTTATGTCGGAGATTAATTTTGCTTTAAATTGCTAAAAAAATGACAAAATTCATAAAGTAATACAATATTACAACACATAGTCATTTTATAAACATACAAACGTAATTATCAATTAAACACGAAAAATAACTGCAGTGCACTTTCTGGATATAATTTTTAATTTATGACTTTTAGTTACCAAAATTGCATTGGTCACACTTGTTCTGAACTTATTTGGCCGGTTAATCTCAGTAATATTCGATAATCCTGGAACCCTTTTTGTGTATTCATAGAAAATATATGTCTCTAATTGTTCGGGTAAATCCGAATATTCGAGTCATTAATTCTTTTAGTTTGGTCATTTCCGGTTATCTGGAAGAAATTATGAAACGAGTCTGACCCAACAAACAAGCGAGACTGAGCGGACCTTGATTATGAAAATCGGAAGTAATTCCTTAATCAGGATTGTTGATGAAAAAGCAAATTCAAATATTACTGTCAAGCTTTCGACCTATCTTAAAGTCATCATCAGTGTAAGACAATCTTAAATATGCCTGCAGATTGTCAAAATTTAGTTTTTCACAGACGATTTCAATTTTCTTTGACGACACAGTACCAACATTTTTTTTTCAACAAGGCGTGATCCGAAGTATACTCCTTAAATCCTAGAGGCAATGAATTATTATTCGATATTATATATTAAATTATTATTATTATATTATTCGAATTAGTTGGAATGTCGTGGAACAAAGGTCATTTTGTCGTGAAATATTGAGGTTTGCGAGGCGATGAACCTGCAATTTTATCATCAGGCCCGCCTATTCTCGCTTGTCTAGTCTAGCCTTCAGCGGTTAATTTTATACTTTTCACAAAAATTGCAGTCGGACCAAATCTGAATAATTGAGGCGATAATTAATTTTCTTTTAATATCACTGACCATATTCAGACAGGAATGGCAAAATCGGTCTGACTCACCGAACAAGCCGGAGTAGGTGGACCCGGAATATTATTATTACTAAAGATAGATAGATAGTTAGAGAGAGAGAGAGAGAGAGAGAGAGAGAGAGAGAGAGACAGAGAGAGTGAGAGAGAGAGGAAGTTAATACCTTCAATTGGGAAATGCAGATCGCAAGTCCTTAAGAAATTTTCCCATCAGAATATTTAATGTCAACATCATATTTTCTTTTATCGATATATATTTTTGTGGTTTGCGAGCTGATGAACCTCTTTCTATCATCCCGGTTCGCTTTGTCTCGCTAGTTTATATGTCCTATCATCGTTTCTCCATCCGTTGAAGCTTACAAATGTCACAATTTGTAAAAACCAATGATATAGGATGATTAGAGACGATCGAACTACATAATCATTTACTTTAATATGCCTGAGGCACTTCATAGCACATATTTATTTCCATTAGTTTTACCATTAAGTAACACCCAGAAAATCCCACTATAAATAGTGATTATCTCGACTTAATCCGTGGAATCGTCGGCCATTCATATTCACTGCTAATTGATTATTAATCTTGGAGCGGTTTGCAAATTGGCGGAAGGCGAAAAGACGCGAACGAGTTTCAATTAACCACGTACATGGAAAATTAGAGTGGTGAAGGATTGCTCGACGTGGTAGACGCCCCTTTTCTCACCATTAACCACCCGGGAGCCGTGTCCGTTCACTGTGTAATTATCGCCATTGAACTAAACAGAAAATGACCCCCTTGGCAATAAATCCAGCTTTAAAGACGATTAGAGACGTCCTCGGGGAAAACAAAAGATTTCAATGAGTGCTCAATGAGAACAGGGATGGTATATGACCATGTTATGCCAATTTATTGGATTTTTGGTTTCCTCATCATCAATAATTTGATCAGATCAACCGTTAAAAGACGCAGAAATTTCACTTACGGATGCCATCGAGACTAGAATGGTCTACGGACGACCAAACCTGATTATCAAATATTATTGAAAAATAACACCCAAGGTATAAATTCTACTCATACAAAATAAAATAGCTCTAGCTGTTTTCAACATTCAAGAACAGCTTGAGCTTATGAAAGACTGTAAAAAGTTGAGGACAAGACTGAATTACGAAAAATGTACACAGTCTCACGTTAAAAAAGCAGTCTTTCACTCTACTAACTAACCTTCCATTCAAGTCAAATTACTATACGTAAACAACAGACTGACATGGAATCATGACAGAAGAATTGAGAGATAACAACTCAACAGAAGACTTGGACAACTAGGAAAACTTCTAGGACCAAAATCTGACGGTCAAAAATAAACTAACCATATGCAAGGCTTTACTGTGACCACTTTGGACATAACATGGATCAGTGGGGTTCTGTCCTTCCAATCAAAAGTCCTCAGAGAAACCGTTTAAGATCATTACTACGTCACTACCCACTATCCACACCGACCTCAACATCTGTCAACGAACCCTAGTTCCAAAAGTTTCACTCCCTTCCATTCCAACCTAACCCTAACGCTCAAGCTATTCCGAGAACACGCCCCTTCCCTTAATCAACGATAACCTCGAGACCTTCTAGTCCGATCACTGCTGGTTTAGCATGTGTACTCTGGCTACAAAGCTGGCATTAGTGTTAGTGATGTGACCGTGTGAAGAAATTTTTAAAAAGCTGTCTCCAGTCATCTTGAACATCATAGTCTCGCTGCTTTACAGAAACTTTAATTATCTCTGACCACTAAAATGGGAGAAATGTCGTATACGCCTAATTAAACTAGTGAGACTAGGCGGACCGAGATTATCGGAAATCTCGCTGACATCAACAAAAATATTATAATTGTAGTTAAGTAATAAAAAAAAATCAACGTCATAATTTTAATTTTATAAAAACTAGTAGTTGATTAGTTTCTACTATGAAAAATCAATTAATACTTGAGAACATAATACCTAACAATTAAATAATAAAAAGAAAAATGAATTTTACAAGCTTATTTCAAAGAATAATTTACATTTATTTATGGCTCATCTGTTCAAATTAAGACATTTTCCTAAAAAAGTCTAATTAATAAAATTGGTCAAAATCCTCTTCTATCTATATAAAAATTTATATTATGCTACAAATTTAAAAAAATCTGAAAGAAGTCTGATAGAAAGAACTAACTTTGAAACCCTCTGGATTTGAGAATTAATTGAGTGAAGTAGACAATAA